TAACATAATCTAGTTTATTTTCAACACGCGGCATCATTGTGAAACAGAAACTGGTCGAGAATCGATTTTATTAAATTATTAGGCCGATTGTGTTTTATAAAACCTCTTTTCATGTTAACAATTCAATTTATTATATTCTAGAACATAATTTAGAATGGTTAGCTATTTCAAATCGTTCACCTCACTCGTTCAACGTTCTTACATTCCTCAGCGGTTCACCTTCACTGGTATGGCAGTTTGACGTGAAACTCGACGCTTGAGTGTACTTTCAAAGCAAATGTAAGTTGGAATTTATTACGTTTTATTATTATAATTATATTTATTTATATTAATATATATTATTTTCACATTATGTACATTAATGAGGCGGTTTTTTTATATAATTAAGGTGTTATTTGCTTTATAATAATGTGACTTACCTACCTATTTATTTTCGATGTATGTATCGTGTACTTCCTAATATATAAAGCATTGATTGTAAGATTTATTTTAATATGTAGAATATATATTATGACTGATAATGTATAAATTAAACAGAATCAAAACTTATGCAATCATTTCTCTTAACACAGGTTGCTGTGTGTACAATTCAGACCAGTCTAGAATTATGCATAGGTAGACCAAGATATATAAAGCACATATAAATTGAGAAAAAAATAGTTTTATATATAGAAAATTGTGTTATTATTGTTAATTAATATAATATTAAATAGCTTACTTTCAATTAAATACAAACTAAGTCTTACAGAAATTCAAAATTAATTAAAAAAATATGTTTCGTTACTAAATTTTAGTCTCGACGGTTCGTTATAATGAACGCGAAAATTTATCGAAATAATTATTTTCTGCGTGGTTTTTATAAATTCCAAAAGTAATAGCTTGACAATAATATAATTATTGTAGAAAAAGAACGTTTAAAATAAAAAAAAACAGACTATTATTTGGCATAGCGCAGTCAGAGAATCCATAGACTGATAAAACATAAATTAATTACGTAGTTTCTGGTTAGACATGAATATGTTAAAATGTTTAGGATGATGGCATTTAGACGAATCGAATATTCTTCAATCTTAACGACCTTGACCTTTGAGCCGAAAATCATACCTCGTATGACCATACGCACTCTTATCACACGTGCCAAAAGGTTTTGCAATTTGCGGTTTTAGTTTTTTGAAAGTTTCAATATATCTAACATAATATTTTTAACATCAATTTGTCCAAGGACGGCATATGCAGTAAAAGGTACATATGATATCAATAGTTCATAAGTGAACGTATATTTTAAATATATTTTATTTTATTTATTTACTTGTATTAGTTTTATGCGCGCTTCTGCGAGATGCTTCTGCGACTATCAATGCCATTTAGCGCCATTTTTTAAACAATTGTTTCAATTCCATCATGTTCCAAGATCTTCTACCTGGCAATTTCCCAGCTTTTAGCCAGGGTCTGCCTTACATGTTGTGAATAGTTTTGGCTAATTGTTTTTTATGACCGGCCGCCTGCCTGACATCAACCCTCTTTGGGAATGCATTAATCAGTGATGTCTGAATACTCTCAGAAAGTACATATGACTCGGAAAAATCACATTGGTACTTGCCAGGATCGAACCCGCGCCCTTATGCATGAGAGGCGGGCGTTTTAAACACTAGGCCACCACTGACTTAAATCATCCATCATGTTCCAAGATATAGAACAAAAACTACATAGCTATATGTATAGAACATTTATAATTCTGGAGTTCAGTGACATAAAATGTAGGATAAAATGTTTTTGATATTTTAAATAGCAAAATTATTTATGCAATGCTGTGTTTTAAGTCAATATATGAATATAAATGTATAAAAGCGGCTTATATTAACAATTCAAAATATATGAGTTAGTTAAGCAACGCACGATTCAAGATCTGGCTCGGACGCCAAAATGGATTGCGTAAAATAAGGCCTCGGACACATTTCCTTCCCTGTTGATTTTATTAAGTAATCCTTATACATATTATACTATAATTTGTAATTATAATAATGACCTTTTAACTCTTTCCGGATGTTTATTAGTAATCTTTGATACATCATGTGTTGTTTGTTCATTAGTTATAAAATAAATTAGGTAATTCTGTTTCCTAAAGTTCAGGCGAATCCTACAACTTTGTATCGTCACAAAGTACACTAAGTTTTATAAGTTTTTCAATTATTAATAACCTATTTTAAGTTTTATCTAAAATTAAAGTAAGATTACAGATCAAACTTCTCAAAGTAATAGATTAGATAGTATTCGATATTTTCAATTTAATTTATGCTAAGTCGTCATTGGAACTGGAATCATGTAATATTCTGCTAATGTCAACGTTTTTATTTGTTACACAAATTATAATCTTGAGTACTGTGCGGAAACAAGAAGGAGTTTGTCGAATGCAATTAAAGCTTTTATTTTATTATTATTATTATTTAATATTAGACGTATAATTCACAAATTTAGATTAGAAATATCCACTGACACATGACATATGACACGTAACATATGACACATGAAACTCCTCATGTAGGCTTCCTTCACACTGGATTTGTTTAATATTTCGCCAAACGACACCGATCAGAAGGCCTCGCAGATTCATGTCAGAACATCAATGTCAATATTCGATAGTAATGGCTTTAGTTACAAGGCTAAAACAAATATATGTAACTTATTACATGGCATTAATTAATTATAATGTTCATTCTTTCTTAAACTATTTGGCTTAAAAATAGAGATATGATATCCTTCTTAAAGAGAGTGTTTTTTGCTGTTTTAAAGCTATATTTTATCCTGAAATTCCTCTTAATTCTCGTGGCATAATCTTTGTATTGTGTAGCAACACAGAATATAGATGTCTCTGCTATTTGGCGATCAAATCTTTTGTAACACAATACAATTCTGTCCCTAATATCTAAGTACATACGAAATCGCTGGTAAAAACTAGTTTTGTTATATAGTTATCGTGACAGCGACTCTTACGAAAGTCCAGATGTAATGTCGAACAACAGAGGTATCTTGAATTTTGTTAATATTTGATGCGACTGTTGAGTCGTGAAGTAACTTCATGTCCCCACTCTACTTATATCACATTTGTTACAACTTTGATCGTTATATTGTTGTATTTCATACATACGTTCTTGTACATTTTTTTCTACAATTAAAGTTTAGCTGCCTTATATAAAATATAAAGAAATATATGAAGATTATATTATGTAAACATTTGTATATATATACTTATGTAATGAGATTTTTAAAGTTTATCTATACAGGCTAAAAAAACACGGAGAAATAAGTGAATTTCTTAAAATTGTTGTACCCTAAAAATTCTGTTATAACTGAAATGAGAAATCCTTGCTTGTGTTTTAATATGTGTTAATCTAGTACATTATCTATAGTATTGTATTTGGCGACATCAATACATTACTCATCCGTACAATACATTGTAGGCGTGACATACAATCAACACATTTGAATCTTGCTATAACAACAAAATGAGATGCGAAGGTTTGACAGATGACTAATTGTTGACAACAGTTACAACACTGTTGACTGTTGTAGTGACGAATTAATTCACTCTATAAATCAGCAAAAATATAACTAGTTTTCCTTATTAGCACAAAATATATATAAAAAAACAGTTCATTTCGTATTTCGATATTTCAAATTTTCATTTTAAAAATTCATATAAGTGGCTATTAAATTTTATTAACGATGTATTTTACGAAAATATAATATGATCTGGACAATATTTTACGAATTATATTTGCATACTTTACTTTTTAAATTATAGTAAAAATAAAATTTATTATTTCATTATACTGCAACTAAAGCCTTCGGTCTTTCCTTATGAATATTGCTGCGATTGTAAAAAAAAATATCAAGCACACATTAAACCTTCTTGAAGCCCATTATTATTTATTTTTTAACAAAAAGTAAACAGTAATAAATAAATACCAACGCACTATTTATCTATTTCTTATCTTCCATTCATTAAAAAAAACAGATCTGGTGACGCCCACGATCAATGTATATATTATTTGAATTAATTTTTTAATCTACTGCCATATGGTTTGATTTTTTATCTGTCGTCTAATTGAGGTTGGTGAAGTCAACATATTATTAACATTATATAGTCTGTGGCTATCCAAGCCTAGCTAACAAAGTGAAGCTAATTTCTTTGCTTTGTTATGATTGTTGAAATCTTTGACTTTGATGGAAGTCTTGTAAATTATATAGTTATTCGACCATCAAGACTGTCAATCATAAAATCGTTGAAGAACCTAATTCCTTAACAATTGGTTTCACTATTTCCTCAACTTTACCCCACTTATTTATTGCAGTAAATAAAATGTAGTAAATCAATATCGATTTAATATTAGTATTAGATCTAAGAAAATAATCTTATTATATAGATTGGCAACCAGAAGTTTCAGGAAAACTACGAAACTTACTTATATGTTATTATAATAAGAATTACATATTAAAACTTATAACCTACACCTAAGACTACATGATTGTCCCGATGTTAGGATAGCAATGCCATTCCATAACTTATGTGTTATCAGGAATCTTCTGGTTCACACGGCTTGGCGTTCGTTCCGCGGAGTCAGCAGCGTCACTTGTTATGATATTTTATGCATACAACGATTTTGCCCCAGCGATGTTTACGTTTTTATATGTAGCGCGTACATAACATGCTCGTAAAACGTTACATTCTACGTAAAGAGTACAAACGTTTTACTTTTGCGGATCATTGAACATAGTATTATGAAGACGCCGTTTTATAAGAAGTATTTTAAAATTATCAGTTAAGCCAACAATGCGATAAATATTAATAATAAATACATCAGTATCTTCGACTCGATACATATTTCTACTAAGTTTAATACTCTCGTAAAAGCATTCAGATTCGATGCTGCGTAATGAATAGGCAATTACATGATATCGAGAACAATTTTAACTTTCGTTGAGCAACTGTTTGTGTTGTAATGGACGCGGTGAGTATTGAACGCGGAGTTCTTAATTGCAACAACATTTTTATATACTAGTAATTTTTATATGAAAACAAATATTTTAAAAGAGTATATTCAGTAGATATAATAATAGTAATTTCGTTTATATATTTGTAACGCGGTCTGTAATATTCATTGTTTGTTAAATCAGAGGTCGCGTGGAGGTCATGATGCTCGTTCCTCATTCCTTTCTAATATTTGATCACCGGTTTCGATGTACACGGATTTAGGAACACAGACGCTGCGAGTCGCCTTGAAAATGTTAAATTAATGGTAATAAGTATTAAATATATGATACTTTTAACTATGGAGTTATGGTTATTTATTTTGATGAGAATTTTTTCAATGCGATGATTACGCACGAAGCGAATTAAAGGTCGGATATTTCATGGTTTTGCATTAATCGTGAGTAATTACTGTTTTGCTGATATAGAGATGAGTAACTTTAGACTTAGGTACAGTACAAAACAAGAAAAGAAAATGGCAATAAAAATAATATATACTTATAATAATATTTAATCAAATCAATAGTATCAGTGTTGCCAACATTGTATCATTTTAAACATAAAATTTATTTCGGTCAAGAATAACAAACGAAAGTGTTGGCAGCCGGTCAAGGCGAAAGGCCTTATGTCAGAAATACAATTGTAATTACAGAAATACGAATTGTAACACTTATATTACATCAATATATATATTGACAAATTTAAAATATTTTATATTTAATAAGACAAATAGTAAGGCATTAATTTATAAGGTTATGCGTTGGACGGTTAAGATTCGTTGCTCGTAAACTTTTATTAAGTTTTTTATTAATATAGAGAATTTATAGAAAAAAAACGATGATATTATCTATTGATATACTTCAATATGTAAAGTTAAATACTTTAATAAATATTGTCTAGCATATTAAAATACTATAAATGACGATGAAATTCTTCCCGAAAATTAACTGATAAAATATATCCTCTACTAATAAATTTATTAAACGATTCTAATAGATTAAATTCAAATAAAAAATTTGCATTTTCAATGCTATGTTTTACAATCGTGTATAAAAATTTATGCTAATTATACGTAAGTCGTGTCTGATCTCATCTTGGAAGATACATAATAAATAATACACACGGATGTTGAAAACAAAATAATATTATAACATTTTATATTGTTTATCCTTAAAGAATGAGTAATTTATAACTAATATTAATAATAGGTGAATTAACGAAATTATTGCGTAGTCTGTGTTGAGTTCTGAAACTTTATTTATTATCTGTATTCATGTGAAATGTCAAAATAATTTTGACAGATATTACAAAATAAAATTACGAAAAAGTATAGCAAAACAAATGAAATATCCACTATCTTTGTTTATATAAACAAGTTGATGTAACAACAAACAGTGCTCGCCTTAAAACATAGATTTCAACTATACGTTATCAGGTAATATGAACCTGTTTGACAACACGGAAATTTAATACGATAAAAATAGATAAAACGGCCATCGATTTAATGATGTTTTGTATAATTATGATTTTGTATAATATAAAGCAACTGTATAATTGAAATAACATATTATAAGACAGTTGTTTCAAGTCTAGGGAACATATCCTTGAAGGTAGGCTAGATTTCAATCAGAACAAGGTTCTTCTTACGACAAAAGCTATTAAGGACTTAGCTCCGGAAAAAGTTATAAAGCGACAATCCTTACTTATAGAAGTGTAGGTTCTTATTCAAAGTTAAAGTTCCTAAGATTTTACTGCTTGGCATGATTTTGAATTAAAAGCAGCTTCCAATTTGTCATTTCTATTTTATAACAACCAATAAATTTACAATTTTCTCAACTGTAAGCCAGTTATTTAATATAAATTAAAATTTCGTAAAACTTATCATATTTTCTTAGGAACCATTTCTTTCCTATACATTATTAAAAGTAATATAGAATACAAGACAGCTTATTTATTTCCATTTTCCTTGTTCATCTGTCTAAACCTAAATACGAAAACCAAGCATTACCTGAGAATAAACCTTGTATGCAATATTTGTAAACTTTGAGATGTATCAAACGAGTTTCTTTAGATAAAATCGTTTTACGGTTAAAATATACAGTAATTGTACAGATGAATGTTACAGTGAATTTAGTTATAACGCTTACAAAGACGAAATCTGTGAATTGTTCAATCATTTAGACTACTTGATGTTTCAATACCTACAACTTTATTTTGATTTTTTATAATAAATTCCACCTTTTTTTGTAATTTTTAATCTATACGACGAACAAAACCGATGAACCACGATAGATTTTTTTATTTTTATCTATGCTAAGGCGTGTTTTTGATATACAAATAACTACGTCCGAATCGATAATGTAATGAAAAATTTTGTAAAAATAAAATAAAAACCTAAACAAAATAATAATATATTTACGATCACAACAAATGTAACTGTTTTTTTTTATTTATTCTAATATCTCGTCGCAAGCAAAGGTCGTAAGAACAAGTTATAAGACGCCTCTTATTATCCTGTTTAAATAACGAGGTAACTCGTATATTTTAGTATAGATGCACAGTAATGTCATCATTACTACCAGTATTGTATAAATATAGAAACAAATAGCAATTTATAATTTAATTATACGTTTAGAAACTTAACTTACGGTTTCTGGACGTAAAATAAAGTATAGTCTATGTCAAATATGCGTATATTAAAATGTCGAAATCATTAACAAAAAACTAATTAGCATATTATGTAGCTTTAAATCTGGTTGTGGTGACAAATTTAATTTAATTATCTTATTTTTTTAACCTTGTAACCTTGGACTGACAATCAATTATTTGAAAAATAATTAAAATTAAACTTCTAAGAAATATTCTTATGTTTTCTTGATAACGTGTAATATGAAGACACATTTCACTAATGCCATTTTATTGATGAATCACCAAATTCCATTAAAACATATCCCGTATCAGTTGACGGACGCAATCTTTGACATTTAATTAAGTTTCAGCGTATAATGTATCGACAGGACACACACATACACACACAGAAACACATGTAAATTACACGATTTAACCTCTTTATGTTTGTGGGAAGTTCCATTTAAATACTAGTTACGATTCATTGTTACACACGTAATAAAATCTTAAACTTCACTTATACTATTATAAAAGAGTTATTATATTTTTAAGATGAAAATCATGGTATCAAAGCTAGCTTATGCATATTAAATTAAAGACAAGCAGAAGTCCACTCGGTGACGCTGTGAAAGCCATTAGGACTAACAGCTTTAGTCAATTCGATACAAAAAAAGCAGTTTTTTGCCATCCATGCCACTTTTTGTTCAGATTTCGCAATAATGAAATTCTGTGACCACAAAAATGTTTTCAAGAGCACACTTTTCCAATTAAAAAGACAGGTGCAACCAATCAATGAGTAGAATCAATTCATGACTAATTCTATCATGTTTTTCCAGATGCTGGTACAAGTGCTGTTGTTCATAGCGAGCGTGGCGCTCAGCAGTTGCGATGTCTCCCATATAGAAACCACTACTGAGGTGTTACCGCCTCGTCCTTATGCTTTTTCATACACAGCTGGTCGGTATCCTGGCGAAATTGACAGACAACATGCTGAAGTTAGCGACGGCAGTGGAGTAGTTAAAGGTAAGATTTTCTTCTAAGAGAATTATCCAAATTACACTTTCTAGGGTACATACGGAGAATCCCTACTAATATTATAAATGCGAAAGTAACTCTGTCTGTCTGTCTGTTACGCTTTCACGCCTAAACTACTGAACTGATTTTAATGAAATTTAGTACAAAGATGGAGTTGACCTTGAGAAAGAATATATAGTTAGTATATATTCTTTCTCCCATAGTTTTTATCCCAGACTTTTGAAAGGTTCTTTTGGAATCGCGATATAACCGAAATCCACGCGGGCGAAGCTGCGCGCGGAAAGCTAGTAATTTATAAGTTCAATTTTCGTTGCTAAACAATTTGTTATACTTAAATATTCGCTACTAAGTGCCTATTTACGTAAATGTCAATAGTATGGCATTAAATTTAGTTTGTATTTATATGTGTGTGTAACTATTCCAGGAACTTTCTCCTACGTGGACCCTCGTCACAAAGTTCGCACGGTCGACTATGTCGCTGATAAGGATGGTTTCCACCCAGTGTTGAGCGATGTCCCTCCTGAACACCCAGCCGACTCCGAGGCCGTCGCCAGGGCAAAGGACCGCCACTATCAGCTATATGCTAAGATAGCTGAAGAACATGCGCAACATCCTTTCCCTGATGGTACGGATACGAAATACTTCGTATAAACTAGTAGATTACCCACGTAAAAATCTTCTGTTTGGCTAGACATTATATCTTTATCTGGTACTATGTGATAGAATTAAAATTAAATTGTAGATTGTTGGATGAATACTGAACTAACATGAAATATTTTTAACAATAGAAAAACTTAAGCAATTTTTGTAAGCTATTGAACAATAATTAAATTACCACACAATAGGACTGTTCTTACGAATAATACTAAATGATTGAATAAGAGAAAAGTATGAAAAAAATTATAGATGTTGTAAATAGTATGTTATTATCATTTCACAAGAAACTTTTAAGTTTTTTTAAATAAAAATGTAGACTCAATTATCATGAAACAACGAACTACATATAACACCATTTAAAACCACAGAGACTTCGATCCCACGGCAATCAGCAGCAGTTGCTGCGGCAGCGGCAAAACACGCGCAGCTATTCCGGGTAATAGCTGAACAGCACGCCCGGATAGCAGCAGAAAGAGAAGCTTTACAGCAAGAGGAAGAAGAGAAACTCGCGCTGCAAGAGCTCCACTGAATTGGACCAGAATGATTCCTGATTGACTTTTAGAACTACTTTTTTTATCGACCAATTCGGTTGAATCCTGTTGAACATTCCACATACATATGACTTTAATTTTTTTACAAATTAAGACTGTATCTTAACTTAGAAGATATTTAATATCAATTTTTATATCAATCAGTACTACATTATTGAGTTTTTTTAATTCCCATCTACGTTGTCTGTCTTAGACTCTGCTAAGATTAAAGATTTTAAAATATATGTATAGATGTCGCACTTTTAGTATTAGTTTGGTGTTACCAGTAACCAAAATATGTTATGAATCACATTTTATTTGTAATTTTATACTTTCACACAATTGCCATATTTAATATTAAAGAATATATACATGAAATGTTTTTTATTACAAAATGATTAAGGTAACTTTGTGGTCTGTTTTGAGTACCACAGAAATTAATAAAATGTTGTATTGGTAAATACATTTAGAGTATGTTTATGATATAGATCTTTTTTCTAAAATTTGCTAAGTTTCTGAGCGATTCTCTCGGAGTGTTAAGTAGCAAAACAGAGCAGAATGAAAGCAGTAAAACTTTTCACTAGTTATGCTGTGACAGAAAAAATATATATACCTACATACATATATATATATATATATATATATATATATATATATATATATATATATATATATATATATATATATATGTATGATATATGATATATATATATATATATATATATATATATATATATATATATATATATATATAGTAACTGTTAAGAAAAAAAAAAATAATTTTTCTTCGAACGTTTACTGCAGAAAAAAATCGACATTTCTTATGCATATACTATACATATATATTAAATATATATTACCAAAGAGGGTTGATGTCAGGCAGGTGGCCGGTAGTAAAAACAATTAGCCAAAACTATTTACAACATGTATGGCAGACCCTGGCTAAAGCTGGGAAATTGCCAAGAGGAGGAAGAAGATACTAATTAAAAACGAAAACACCAACTCTGGAAAACAAGGGTAGCACGGATGTTGGTGTAGGTGGTATATAAAATTATTATTTACATGTAAAAGGTACTATTATTGAAACAAGAAACAAATATTGACTATATTCTAATATATTATATCTAACGCATTTCATTCCGTTGAAAATTATTGACTCAAATGGCGTCATGAATTTGAATGTTAAACATTACTTTGAAAGTTGTTTTTGTTTAAATTTTAAATCCCATCTACAAATAATTTAATACTTATCACTTTTATGTGTGATTTTTACAATCGTATAGTTTCTATATGTTTTATCCCTACTAATATTATAAATGCGAAAGTAACTCTGTCTGTCTGTTTGTCTGTTACGCTTTCACGCCTAAATCACTGAACTGATTTTAATGAAATTTGGTACAGAGGTAGAGTTGACCTTGAGAAAAAACAAAGGGTAGTTTTTATCCCAGACTTTTGAAAGGTTCTCTTGGAAACGCGATAAAACCGAACTTCACGCGGGCGAAGCTGCGGGCGGAAAGCTAGTTGTTTATAAAACACACAAAATATGTTTAGGTTCAAAGTAACAATTCATTAATAAGATATTTGACTAAAATTAGTTCAAACTTAAAGTTGAAATCTAACTTAAAGTAAATATAAAAGTAATATATTATTAACGAAGACTGTACAAAAATGTTCATAGTTGAAATTGAATGTTTAAAATGAAAACCTACATAATTTTATAAATTAAATTATTTTTTCTGCGAATAAAAGAAAATGAAAATTAAGTTAAAAAAATTTAACTAATAGGTTTTAGTTACCTTAAGTCTTTATTTAACAAAAAAAAAACTAAATCTTTTAATAATCGTTTAAAATAACAAAGAATCCGTTGTCTATTCAATATTATAATATTAAGAGTTAGAATAATAAATTTGTTGATTTACGACAATTTTTTCAAGGCTAATTTCTTGGGTCAAATCATTCTTTATAACATTGACCCCATCGTCTCGTTCTTTTTGAATAGAACACTAATCTAATATTATAATAATTTTGGTACTGTTCTTTTTATATTAAATAACTTCAGTATATAATATTCAATTAAAATATACTAAACACGATGTTTTTGTGAAAAATGATCTACACTATAAAGCAGACTTCCACTCAGTCATTTTAATTTTAAATCATTTAATTTTTACGCCCTGTTTTAAGAACAGTGAGCCATCCATTACATTAGGAACTCGATTATTACTAAACTTTATGATTTAAATATTTAAAGAGGAATTTTATAGATATTATATGTATGTATTTTTTTTGGTGTAATAGTAATCGTTTTACTTCTCAAGCGCAAGGTTTTTTAATTGTCGAGCAGAAAATTGTTCTTTCCATGTATTTACGAAGCTGCAACAAGTAAAACATTGTATGAAAATTACGTCAAATAAAGTGAATTTTCAGTTCTGTAGACTTTGAGAAGTTGTCTCTTAGATGCAGGTTCTAAAGTATGCCACTGTCTAATAAAGAATTCAAGGAAAAACACAAAAATGATCGTCTGTAATTACTTAAACAATCAACAAAAGGAACACTTGCACAAACAATGACTTCTTACAAAATATAATATACAAGAAGATCAAATGAATCGTTGCCCATTAAAATTTTATTAATTACAAATATGAATCAGTATTCTTACATTGGATAAAATTCAGGTCACTTAGATCTCATATATTTAGAGTAAAAAACTATATATAAACATAAAAGTCACTAATTCATATAAAATGAAAATTAATACATATTTTCCAAAAACTTTTTCTAATCATCCTATATACATGAACATCAATACATATTCTATAAAAGGAGATATAAGTTATGGAAAAGTACATTTAACTTTGTACCATCATTTGGGTCGAGCAAATAGTTTTAAGATGAAAATACTACTCTTGCTTGGAGGCCTACTCGTTGTTGGGGTTAATGCCAGTGAGTATTTAACACTTATATTATTACCTGTTTCGTATATTTATACAATATTAAATAGCTGAGTATAAATAAATACTAATACCAGTAATGGAAAAAAAAACTGTCGATAAAATTTCATCTTTTCATCATTAAAAAATCATCCAATTACCATCCATTCATCCATTCATTTTCTTCAAGATATTCCATGTGCATCAAGATTCCTCAACAACTCAGTAGTGTGTGTATGTAACGCTACTTACTGTGACACCATCACGAGGAAAGTGCCTGAAGCTGGGACCTTTGTAGCTTATACTTCTTCCAAGGTAATTAATTATTTCACATAGAGTTTAAGTTTAGTGAAATATGAAAAGGCTCTTAGGGCTATTTAAAACTTTTGTGTACCAATATTCCTTGGATACATATTTTATTATTCTTGATTTAATTTATCTTATAAATGTCAAAATTTAACAGGATATTTGGATGTGTTATGCTGTTTTCGCGAAGAAAGTTCTTAACGTATTATATTAAATATTACAATAATGTATCTTGGATATTAGAATAGAATATATATTTATACGAAATTCCGTGAAGTTCCATGAATCAAAGTCGTATTATATTTGCAAATATGGGACACACTTTATACATTTCTCTTTGAGATGAACTCCGAAATTCACGCGGATGAAGTCGAAGGCTAAAACTAGTATAATACATTTCGTAACACTTAACACGTCACGTGTATATGATATCTAAATTTGATGAATGCCTTAAGACCTCTAACTCAATATCATAGTCTCTTGTTAATTACTTAACATTCTTCAAAGGATAAGCTTTGTTACGTACCTATAAAATTGTTGCACGATGGACAGTATTTTATTTGGTTACCACTGATTTTGTGCCTTTCAGTCAGGATTACGATTCAGCATCACTCAAGGAGATATTGAAGAAGCAGATACATCTTATAGCAATGGTAATTACAAATCAATTATTTTGCTATCATTTAATCGATCGTTCGTTAAATTTTACAAACATTTTTAGCCGATTATGGAAAGGTTTTCGACTTACAACCGAAAAAAGTTTATCAAGTTATTGAAGGATTCGGTGGAGCAGCGACCGATTCATCAGCAATGAATTGGAAGAAAATGAAACCAGCAATTCAGGAGACTCTGGTTAAGTAAGGATTATGAACCAATTATTACATAATCTTCATGACAACTTCATAAGACTCCTATAGACATAGAGTAATATTGTATGTTTCGAGAGCCTTAAAAACAGTTCTTTTGTATTTTTTTCGTGTCTAGATCCTATTTTAGCGAAGAAGGTATAGAATATAATATCATCAGACTGCCGATTGGGTCTACTGATTTCTCGACTCGTTTTTATGCTTACAACGAATACCCCAAAGACGATACATCTCTCAGCAACTTTACATTTGCTCCAGAAGATATAGAATATAAGGTTTGTATAACTTTTCAGGTTTACTTTCTTCATTTTTTATACCAAATACATTATTTTTCTTTATTAACGTTTATCAGATTCCTTTATTGAAATCCTGTTTGAATGCTGCAAATAACGAAGTCAGAATAGTGTCTGCTACTTGGTCACCACCAAAATGGATGAAAGTAAAGGAGCCACAGAGTGGTATAAGTTTTATCAAAGAGGAATATTACCAAGTTTATTCCGATTACCACTGCAAGTGAGTACACGCCATAACCTAAAGATCTTGGTTTGATATTTTATATTAAACATTATTTATCACAGATTTGCAGAGCTGTTTGAAGGAGAGGGTATTCATATTTGGGGAATATCCACTGGAAATGAGCCTTTGGTGAACATGTTCGCTGGTGTCAGGAAAGAGGAGACAGCCTGGAATGCACCCAGTTTTGTAATATACCAACTACAATATCATACACACTTATTACATATATATATATATATATATTTAATTATTTCAGCCAGTACTTTAGCCGTCGCTTAAACAGGTGGCTCTATTATAAGTTTTTTCGATAATAGGTCAAGATTTCCTTTAATAGAATGAATATCATAAACCAAAAAACTAATTTATCGAGAACCGTACAGCAGATAATCAAACAAAGTGGACTGAGTCAAACATAATAAGTTTTTGTTTCCTATAGGCAAAGTTCATAAAGAAATACTTCGGACCGACTATAAGAAACTGTTCAGTAAATGACATGAAAATTCTAGCGATAGAGGATCAACGTTATGCTCTGCCTCTTTTCTTTACCAAAGTAAGTATAGAAAAAAAAGAAATTTCTGGCCTGTCAAGTACCTAAACTATTACTATCCCATAATTGAATTAAATTTTTTTCTAATTAAAAAAAACCTCTCATATTAACTAATAAATTAAACTCGAAATATTATTAGTTTCATTAAATAGTCATAATAATTCAAAGGATAATTCCTTAGTTCATCTTATTTACCAAAATTATTTCAGACTAGACTTAAGTCTTTATTAATCTACCTTTAATTCTTTTCTCATCTGGTGCATCCCATACACCTATATTAATTGTCCTATCAAAAAATTTCCAGTTGCAATCCGATACTGAAGCTATGTCTTATGTAGACGGAATATCCTTACATTTTTATGGTGACAAAAATACTCCGGCTTCGACAATTCCAAAAGTTCTGAAGGACTTTCCCGATAAATTCGTTTTATACACAGAAGCCTGTAATGGTGAGTACATGTTGTAATAAATAATAAATCGTATTAGTACTATTATGGATATATTAATGTACCAACTATGAAAACTTTCTTTATAGGTCCCCAAAGTCCTAAAGATGAAAAAGTCGTTTTAGGTTCTTGGGACAGAGCCAAGAGCTATTTTACGGATATACTTGAGGTTTCTATGCTTATTATTTTGTGTTTATTTTGTATATTTCAATATAATTATATTTAATTTTTGTTGCATCTTAGAATCTTAATTACAATGTGGTTGGATGGCTCGACTGGAATATGTTCTTGAACACAGAAGGCGGCCCGACCTGGATAAAAAACTTTGTGGACTCTTCGATAATTGTCGATTACGATAAACAAGAATTCTACAAACAACCTACATTTTATGCAATGGGTCATTTCTCGAAATTTGTTCCGAGAGGCTCTCAAAGAATTAAGGTTAAAACTATTTTACCTGTAACCGATCCGAATTTGGATGTGTAAGTATAGTTTTGTAATAATTCATAATGGCAACTCATTAAATTAATAATTGAATTAAGTTTAAATTGACATTACATAATTTACAATGTAATATTCTAATTATGTACCATTATACAAATTGACACGAATATCATTATTTCAATATTTAAAATAAATTAATAGTTATTGAAAAGGTGATGCAACTTAAATTTTACATTTTTAGGATTGATTTGACAAAAGTGGAGGCAGACTTTTTCGACAACGTAGCTTTTATCACTCCTAAAGGCACGATCGTCGTAATCATACACAACGAGTAAGTTTTATATATACTGTGGTCTGTGTTATTGAAGGAACTTTACAATAATTATTTTATTTGTCTAGGGGGGCAGCACAAGACTGTGCAATACAATTAGATGGCTCCCAAGCCACTGTATTCTTAGAAGCTGAATCCATAACTACGGTTGAAATACCATACGACGGTAACTCACTCGGAACACCCTGCAGCAAATGATTACAAAATCTTGTTAAAAATTAATGAATAAAAAACGACTTGTGACTATCAAATACCATATTTCATTTAAGGCTTTTTCCGAACAATGAAACATATCAACGATAATCCTATTATATAAAAATAACATACACTATCTTCTCAATATTTTTAAACATTTTATTGTAAATTTTTTTACTTTAAAATTTTCATCCGCGTTTGTAAGATAATTTCAGTTAGGTATATGTATTTTCTTAAAATATATTTTAAATATATTCTCTGTAACAATAGATGATGTACTAATTTCACCGATCATCTTTTTTATACATATATGCTGTAACTTACCTGCTATCTTTATTTATTATTTTGACATCTAGATGACATTTACTTTGCCATTACAAGATTTTCTAAGTTAATGATTAATCCCGGTTGTGTCTCTACTCTCTTCCATTCTACACGACACTGGCAAAACTGCACATTCTTGCACTGATGAAGACTTGCACTAATATGGGGGAACGAACCAATACCTAGCACAAACAACTTCTATAATAAAATCCCAATAGCTCATATAATTGAATACTTCACTGTTTTTAATTAAAATACTACACGTAACCTACAGTAAATATGAACTTGTTTTATTTTTTCGAACAAAAAATATATAAAATAGCAAAAGTTATAGCATTTCTTCTATTTAGGTTGTTATCCTGATTATAGCTGTTTTATTTATTCTCAGCTTCTATAAGTCTCTACACCCAAACTCTTATTTCAGAATCCTTTGCACTATATTAAATTATTTTTACTTGATGTGCCTACTTTGAGAATCCTAATTTTATACTTAGTTAGTTACCTTTATACTTCTACATATACTGAAGTAAGGAATAATATCAATGGATATGGTCTTTTAAATTAGCAGGAGCTAAAACAGGTGTTTTAGGGCATTATTTACAAGCTTTGGTAATCGGATGTAAAGTTAATCAGGAAAATGTTACAATAGCTTCTGTATAAGGATAACATAATAATAAAACAAGGTCTAAAAAGAGTTATTTTAAGTATAATACAATATCATTTCAGATACAAAAATTAGTTATGCACGACAAAAATAACACAACTAGGTCCAAAGATAGGTCACAAGCGCTCTAGTCACATATATTTCAAAGTAATTCATTTATAATTAAACTTTTACAACTTTGTTTTTATACAGAAACAGAATCATGATTATAATAATTAATGAACATTATAAAATTAATTGTTATAGATTAAAATAAATGCTTCATAATACATTTCTGTTGACTACTGTCCGGGACCAGACAGAGATTTGTCCATGAATTTCCTTTTGGCGAAACAGAGCCACCACTTGCTGGGTTTACCGTCTTCAGTCGCAAACACCTGTAATATATATTAAAAATGCTAAATATATCACTAATAAAATATGAGAATGTATTAAAAACAATGCAGGTACTGTCCGACAATTGAAGCTAAACTTATCTTAAAATAATGTAATATTAGATAAATTTTTATGTATGTACACAAATCAGGTAGTAACTATTTTATGTTAATATATTAGAAATGAAAGAAATTAAATATCAATAAAAAACATTTTTAATTATTGTAGAATACCAATGAATTACAAGTTTGGTCTCAAATATGTTTAAAATCTAGAAAGCTAAGAATTAATAGGTATTTTGGTAAAAATGGACAAGTAGTTGTGTTTTATTTGTTATGAATAAATGTATCTTTTTAATTGTACCTTCTCACACACCCGAGCCCCAGTCTCATGTCTCAATTGTTGTAGATACTGACGCATCAAGTCTGTAGACAGAAACAGACAAGTATGATGAAAAATGATAAAATACATATATACAACTAAACCTCTCAGCGTTCAATGTATTCACTTTGTGGGTGCCGACCCCATTGCTGCAGAGAGAGGAGCTTCAACAGTGCCTGGAACTTGTGACCCAGGTGTAGGTTTAAGGGGCCCCTATCTAACACGCGTTAAATGCTCCTCTCTCTACTTAACATATATATAAATTGAATAGTGACTGGTGTGGATAATGGTTGACTGTCATTACACCTATTGGATAGTTGAAAATGAAGTCATCGGTGGGAATTCCATTGAATATCAGTAACATTCTTGACAACAACCAAAGTATAGGTGGAAGGAATAGCAATCACAAACAAACTGTTCAAATCCTTTGTCGAGAAAGGGGAACATATGGTTATGTCTGGATACAAAGAAACTCTATAATGAAATGATTAATAAAATCCGATGGTAATAAGGAGATGTAGAAGTTTATCTGCATAAATTGTCAAAGTGTAGCCAGAAAGTACAAAAATAAGCCATTTACACATTACCTCAAGGCAGAGTGAATTGGTTTCAATGAAATGGAGTCACAAATAAGTTTTTTGTGTGTCTATCCACCAAGTTAGCAGTTATATATGTACCTATATATACTATTTTTAAGGGACTAAATGTATGGACAAATATACTGAACCTGATTCTTGAGGGCCGGAGGGTTTAGCATACACAGAATTGAGAGGAAAACCACTCTCGCCGGGAATGTCAAATTTAGATATAGCCAACATATACATCTCCTGCTGGCCCTGATTCTTGTTAGAACACTTCTGTAACCTCTTCAGACACTCGGAAACATACAGAGTCAAATAAATAAGGACTCGGTCAGCATCAGACTGAAAAAGTATTTTTATTAAAACTTCTACAAACTTTCCATATCCTATAGGTGTTTTATACACTGTATACATACCTTTATTTCGTAAAATCTAAAGAAAACGTTGGCCTTAAAGTAATTTAAAGCTTCATCAATAATATCAAGTTCTATCTTAGGGCTAATGGGCGCCGGCCCTCTGAATGTAGTGCGAATAGGCAACAGAGCCAAATTGCCTACCGATTGCGTGTAATCAACTAATGTGGAATGATACGCCTGAAAAATTAAGTTTAATAATACCACTATTCAATTATATATAATGAGTTAGAGAAACATCTACTTACTGGCATTTTGCAGTTTTGTGACGAGACGTTATCAAACTTTTAAAAGTTGTAAGTAATTAATTATTGTATTTAAATAATATAAGAGTAATTTCGGTAAGTAAATTATTTTAGTTACAAAATGAATCACTCAGATACGCCTTTGATAACAAGATGTCAACTGTCATCGGCACAGATAAAACACATTAGACAGAGTCAAAAATAAACAGACGGAATAATCATAGGTGTTATGATATAATTTTAAATATACAAATTGAATAGTATTTATTTGGGACTTGGATGTATTGAAAATTAATTTACTAATTTGTAAAAAAAAGGCAATTTCCTTTCGATTGGTTTTATTGGTTTGGATAAACTATGTCATTTTGGACATAAGTAATAAACAATTTAATTTAAAACGTATTCCATATTTTCAAAGCAATCCAGGTATCGTATAAATATACGTACAGTCGGGAATTAGTGTAACTTGTGAATATATTTAAAATATTGTTTTATCATGTCCGCGTTGAAATAGGGAAATTTCGAAATGTTGGAATGAAAAGAGGAAGGAGTAGAAATGATTTTTAAGGAATTTTTAATGTAACTTTTACACAAACTTTGTTACCATTACTTACAAGTCACAATTGATTACCCGCACACGTTCGAACGCCTCGTATTCCCCCTTGCTCTGTCTATTTCACCCCTCGCGCCCCACACTAAGGAGCGTTAAACGTTTAACGCAACCTTGCTGGAAGTCGCATATGAACTTTCACTTAAAAAAATCTTTGTTCGTGCATAGGTATAAAAATTCATACTTAAATTAAAACTTGCATATTTTTTATGCTATGGCTTCATGCGCACTGGAATCGTTGCATATTCTGCCAATGTAAACGTTTTTATTTGTTGGACGAATTATAATCTTGAGTACTGTGTGGAGAAAACTGCATCTAGTTTTATTAGTGAAATAAAAGCACTACCTAGTTGTCAGTTATTATTTGAAAGACTATTCTGTCAAAATGACTACTTTCGATCGAAGATATTTACCAATTAAAATTCTACGCATGAGTGTTACGTACGCGCTACATATGAAGAAAAAAATGAACATCGCCGGGGCGAATTCTTTGTATTGGTAAAATATCGTATTACGCTATTTTCACATTACACGATTTCGCTCGTGCGGGAAAAAATTGCCCGATTTTTAATCGTGGTTTTGCTACTTTCACATTGAACGATAAAAATCGTACATTTTTATCAGTTCATTGGAACATTTGGTCTGGGCTGGATGAAAACTATGGATCGCGAACAAGTAATTGCGTTATGGATACTGTATCGTCGTCGGAAAAGACAAAGGCGCAATCGCCTTCACTGGATTCACCCAATTGATCAGAGACGAGAGGAAGTCGGGATGTTCCACACATTATTTGAAGATCTTAGAAACGATGACCAAAAGTTTTTCAACTACTTTCGTATGTCAGTTCGCTCCTTTGATGAGTTACATGGGAAACTGAAGAGTGTTCTACAGAAACAATATTGACAATTAGGTAGAAACAATACTGGGGACAATTCCCGTACGACTAAAGACCGTCTAGTGTGAAAGCGTGCATTTGGTCACGTAGGCCACTAGGCTAGAGGACGATACGGTAGCCGTGCGGTTCTAGTGGCACTGGACGGCTGCAACACGATTACAAAACGTGCCCGTGTTCAAATCGTGCAATGTGAAAGGTCTCGTACTCTTCAATAGTCGATCAAGAAAAATTGCCCGGGCGATTTTTTCCCGCACGAGCGAAATCGTGTAATGTGAAAATAGCGTAACGAGTGACGCCGCTGACTCTGCGGAACCAACACCAAGCCGTGTGAACCAGAAGATTCCACATACCACACAAGCAATAGAATGCCATTGTCATCCTAACATATAGGCAACCATGTAGTATTAGGTATAGGTTATAAGTTTTAACATGTAATTCGTAATTTAATATACATATAAGTATGTTTCGTAGTTTTCCTGGAACCTCCGGTTGCCACTTTATATAATTTGAGCATAAATATTTTTTTATCAATATCACGAATGCGACTAATTGGTGATGACTGTCTAATATTGTTTTTAATTGTATCGGTATAAAAAGATCTTTGAAAAATAAATATCACAAATATACTAGATCTTATATATGAGATGTTGTACTAAAAAAAAACTTTTTTAAATTGACATCGTCATGTACGACAGTTTGCAATGTTTTTTTTTAATATAAACAGACATTGTTTTGTTTTGTAACATAATTTTCCAGATCTGCAACTCTTCCTTAACTTATTAAATACTAGCTTTTGCCCGCGACTTTGTCCTCGTTAGTTTCATTATTAGAAATTTATAGCTGACCAGGCGCACTGTTTCGATTAAGCGGCATCAGAATGTAGATAAATAAACAGATTTTGGATTTTATTAGTAAAAGTTTTGTTTTTTTGCTCGAATGAATTCAAAAGTATCCTATTATATGTCCGTCTCCTGATTCCAATCTACCTCTCCAAAAATTTCAGCCAAAATCGCATAGCCGTTCTTGAGTTATAAATAGTGTAACCAACTAGACATTTTTTTATATGTATAGATATCGCGATAAACATAATTATTATACATTATATTAAATTAGCACTAATTGTAGTAATTTGTTTGTATATTGAAATACATCGTACGAACGCATAATACATTGTTGCAATTAATTATTTAAATTTAAATGTAATTAATTAAAATAAAATAGCCGTTGAAGTTATATCGAGGATCATTTGGATGCGTCATCACTATCTGGTGTATGTATAGCTGATATTTAGGGTTGTATCGTTATTTTCACTTTTATATATATATTTCAAGAACAGTCTAGGATTTTTTATTAAAAGTATTTTCGTAATAACCTTGGTTCTTGTTCTGTAAATTTTTATATAAAATTTTGTCGTTCTGTTCTTTATGTTTCTGTTATAGAAAGTCAAAGAAGATACCTTATATTTTTATGTATTGTACATTACATAGTGAGCTATTGATATACTGAACTTTAACTTAAGTAATTCGTAATTATCCAATAAAAAAAAATCATAAGCATTATATTATTAAGTTTTTTTTTCATCTAGTAACCCTGTGCGTGTGTCAAATTTCCAATAACATTATTTTGGCGCGCATCAGACGCATCGACGAAAGAGATATGGGCGACATGCTGGACGCGGCCGTTCACCTGAACAGCGACGATGGCTTTATGACTATGATATCTGAAGACTAAAATAATAACCACCTTGACCAAATAGCTATTGTGGAATATTTTTATTTAGATGGCATATTATAACGAGATCGAACTGTATTAGTCATTGTTCCAAATTCAAAAATGTTTATTTTTTTATTCAAACTTTTAAGGTGTAAAATATATAGATAATTCGATAAAATTAATCAATTTATTTATTAAATATTATTCACAAAATAAAAATTAAGAAATATTTCTCATAGTGTGTATTAAAAACCGGTATAATTTTATACAGTGTGACACCACTTAGAAAATTCATAAACAAAACGTTTTATTTCAGCTATAAATCTGAATAATTATTTTAGTGGGAGCAGATAAGTATTTTCTAAATAATAAATCAGTGAAGTAAGGCACAATGCTCCTGGCTCGGTGCGTTTACGATCGCTTACAAAGATCCAGTAAACACAGATTCACTTTGTTTGAAGTATGGATGGAGAGGGTGACCATTATTTATATGAAACGTTACATATACTACAGCTTCGACTAGCTTTGAGACTTAAAATAATATTACGTACTACTAAATTAACTAAATATAATAATAAAGATTAGTCATATATCAATGACATTGTGTGACAGTGTTACCAATTACATAATAATTACCTTAAATTTTCCCATATGAGTTATTACAGGTAGAAATAATATCTATAATAATTTCTAAGCATTATAATGTATTAATTCTTTCATTATCCGTATATATTAGTAATAATCGTCCATTTTAAAGCATCGTCACATTTCCCCGGCTCCATCCGGCGCGCACTCGCTGACAGACATATGCGCGGCGGAAGATGGCGTCGTTAGAGCTGTCGTCACCGCCGCCATAAACGTAAATACACGCTTCGATTTTTCTTTCAGGAAATGCACTCAGTGTTGCCACCGTTAATGTTGTTTAGGAGGTCGTCATAAAAAAATATATTTTATATTTTAATATCGTCGCGGTTTTTATTAGGGTTTTTAAATCGTACGGTACGTTTTAATCACGGTTTCGGCAAATAGATTTGTTTCAGGGATATTTAATTCGTGCCGTACTTGAAGAATCTAATGCATATTGAGATTTCTTTTTTTATCTTATACGTATACTAATTAGTTTTAGTATTGTTCATTTTTAATTTACATATACATATTTAAGATATGTAAGTTGTTCTATGTCCCGATGCCTGTAACTCAAATTAACCATAATTCAGTAAAATGAAGTATATGGGCTTTTTCCTTATAAGTACCTTAAGAAATATAATCAAGGTAAAAAATATACGAAGTGATAAAAATAAGCATTATATTACCAGTCAATTATATAATGAGTAAATACAGAAGGAATGATTTAATTTTCGAAACAAAATTAAGGTCGAAACTTGGTTTATTTAGGTATTTTAACTGATTTCTCAAATATTAATTTAATACAAGTCGATGTTACACAGTCAAAATATAAAATTTAATCAAAAAAAATTATTTAATTATCAACAATTTGACATTAAAAAAATGCGGTATGTCAAAATCCCGGAATCCATTTTATTGAAGTAGCTGTCAGTCAGTGGTTAAATAAAAATATTAATATAAATAAATGATCGTATCTCGAAACTATCTTTTGACATAGCCAATGTAAATTTTCAACTAAATACCAACATCGTAGTCTATTAGCATGTGTCTGTAGCGATTGTGTGACTCATTAAACATTTCGTTTTATTTGTTTCTATCTCGCGTGGGCAGATGGGTTGGTACAGACCGCCCAGCATCCGTCACTCTCACTCTCACCAGATTCAC